GAGTGTCCTGACAATTTCAAACCTGGACCCCCGAAAACCTAAAAAACACATTTCGCAGCTCTAGCTGAATTTGGAGGGTTCTAACCTAGCGCTTCTGAGGATGATTCTCAGACTCTGGCCCACAGATCTATCTGACCTTCTGCGCACCTTAAACATCAGACCCGAAACCCTAACCTGTTCAAATCCCAAAGCCAAAACCCCCGACACCATGCCCCAAACCCGAAACCCAAAACCCAAAACCCAAAACGCTCTGGACACCTGAGGGTTGAGGGTTGCCGGGGGGTGGAGCCTGCTTGCTTGAACAGCCCCAGTGCAGCTTCTGCGTGCTCCTGAGCCTTGTCAGACGAGGCTTTAATAGGGGTTTGGTTTAGGAGTGCTGTGGGATTTAGGGGTTCATGTTGCACCTGCTGTAGTGTGCTACTGCGTCCCCCCCCCCCACCCCCCGAACAATCGAAACTGGTTCTCGCCCTCTTTAAACGGTCCACGGGCTTTGTATGACTTAAAGAGGAGTCCTTATGAATTCAAAAAGGATGAGTTTATGAGTGTTTGAAAGGCACAGTTAACACATAGCTGGTTTTTATGAGGAGTTATATGAAATTTGAAAGGAATCCATGTGATTTCCAATAGGGACTTTTTATTGGAATTTATAGGGGTTCCATGTGATTTTCACAGGGATGAGTTTACACGACTTCAAGTGATCCATTTGAATTTAAAAGGGATGAGAGGATTTTTCGAAATCCAAGGCCCGAAGGGCCAGGACATCAAAAAAAGGTCCCGAAACAACGCCCAGTATTGGGAGACTCGGGCGGGTCCTGGACACCCCCGCCCCCCCTTTGCTGGACTGATCAAGACGAATTCTTCATATAGCTTATTTTTTGAAGGCAAATTTTCCTGGTTTCGGCTCAGTTGGGATTGCTGGTTTTCGGGTTCTTGGAGAGGAGGGCTGCCTTTAAGATTCACAGGCATGCCTTTAAGCCAAGGGGCCAGGGCTTTGAAATCGAAAGCCCCGGGTCCGGGCCAGGACATTAAAGCGGGTCCCGAACCAGTGCCAAATATTCCAGGTTAGGCTGGCTCCTGGACCCCTGCATTGATGGAGACATTTGTTGATATTTCGGTTGTTTACAGGGATTTCTCGATGTCGTATCCTTTGGGACTTCGGGTTGTCGGAAAGAAGGCTTACCTTTAAGATTCAGAGGCCCGGCCGTTAAGTCAAGAGGCCAGGGCATCGGGTTTAAAGTTGGCAGTCGAAACAAGCCCTAAAATGTGCAAGAAACATTCTGGATTTCGGCCCGGAAGCTCCCAGCAAACTTGACTTTAAACAAGGGGCCCCTAGTAAAGCAGGTGCAACATTAAGGGTCTGGGGTTCAGGGTGTAGGCCTCTACGAGCTTTGAAATCTAAATCCCACCCAAGCTGGACATGCCGAAGCGGACTTGGCGTAGGATTTAGGGCTTAGGGTTAGGCTTTATTCAATCTACGTGGCTTTCGGGTTCTCGGAAACAAGCTTTCTCAGCACCCACAGGATTGAGAGGACACACACACGCGGTAAGCCTCCCAACCCTAAACCCTAAACCCTACACCCTACACCCTAAACCCTAAACCCTAAACCGTCCCAAACATCGAAGCGCTCTCTGTGTTCGATATCGGACCAGTGAATCGTGGACTGCATTGACATTCCTCGACATGGTCGTCAGTGCACTTGCATGAGGTCTGCTGCAAATAGTCTCGCAACCGCAACAAAGAACACAGAAAGAACACAGATGGAGTAGATCATATGGTTTTTGACATTTTTGCGTAACTTCTCGTGTCTTGTCCCTCTTTTTCAGATCAAGCGCAAGACGCCTGGACAGATATGTAGTACGGCCTAGGACTTTGCTACTAGTATCTCAAAGACACACCTCACCCATACACGTACCAGTAACAAGGAACCATAAATACACTCGCCAACAAGAGGAGTTCGCAACACAATTCTCGTGTCATGTCTATAACTTTGCTTGGGCTTGGGCGCAGCTTGCAGCCCACATTGCCCAAACCCTGAACCCCAAATCCCAAAACCCCAACCCGAAACCTGTCCTGAAGGGTTCATGGTATGCGCTAAACATCCTGCCCTGATACAGCAAGCCATAAGAGGACTCCACACATGCAGGCCCTACAACGAGGCCCCCCCCCCCCCCCCTAGTTACAAGTAGAGTTATAAGGACCCTAAATTGGGTAATCTGGATTCCTTACTTCGGTTCTAAGTCCCTAAACCCTAAACCCTAAACCCTAAACCCTAAACCCTAAACCCTAAACCCTAAACCCTAAACCCTAAACCCTAAACTTAACTACTGTTACTTTTTAGTATTGTAGGAGGGTTCCCCCTTCCAGGACTCTAAAAGACCTACCATATATGAAGCGGGACTCTTCACTGAAAACTTTGAGGCATAGGGTGTGGGGCTTTGTGGGGGGTTTGTGGCTGAGTTCCCCTAAAACCCTTAAACCCTCAATTAGACCTTCAAAACCTGAGAACGAGGAGAACCCAACTCACGAAGTCCGTGTCAGTTTCATGGTTGTTCATATTGGTGCCCTTCCCACCTCAGGTCACTACAGAACGATGATTGCACAGTGAATGGGGTTGGTGGCTCACAGGTGATGGCACTAAAAGCATACCTCTCTATGCTCAACGAAGTGCAGTCCTCGGAAAGTTCATATGTGTTATAGGCTGCTATAAACAGTGAGCTGCTCAAAGATTGGGTTCATCAGAGCGTTCATCGACGCACCTCTTCGCATGCCATGTGGCGAGCAACAAAGAGTCCGCTTTTGTGCTGAGCGAGGTTTCGCAAGCACTTCACATCTCATTCCTCAATGCCATGCGCATGTTCATTTCTCGTGCAGCGGCTGCTTCCATGTGCATCTGAGCCAGGGACATCTTGTCCCGCGAGACAAAACTTCTCAAGCAAAGAGAGGGAGTGAGGGCTGGCCGGCGGTTTGACTCGCTGGTTGTGCTTTTGTCGTCAGCGCGCTCTTTCTACAGTTCAGGGCTTCGGCCTGTCAGAGCGTGTGAGGCTTTGCTACCGTAAGTTTTGCGCTTTTTAGCGCTGCAAGTGCAGTGCTAAGATCGGCGCCGCTAGATCGGGACTACCCTTTCTGCGAGAGTGAGTGAGTCACCAAGTAAGTGGAAGCAAAACAAAAACCCTAAACCCTAAACCCTAAACTTTTAAACCCTAAACCCTGAACCCTAAACCCTAAACCCTAAACCCTAAACCCTAAACCCTCGAATTAAGAAAAGCTCCATGGCATGGCTGGTCTCTGCCTAGGAATCCCATAAAAGCATGTGATGATCAGGATTACGGGTTTCGAGTCTACAGGGTGGGGCCCCCTTACTATACTAACTGTAGTTAAGGGACTTATAACCTAACTTAGGGTCCTTATAACCCAATTTAATTCAGGCCCTTATAACTCTACTTATAACTAGGGGGCCCCACCCTGTAGGGTTTATAGGAGCTGGCTTTGCACGGGAACACAGAAGACGACAGGGTTGTGACAGGGCTTCATCAGACGTCTGAAATCGAGACTTCACGCCTGAGTCACCAAACCCTTTATCCTACAGCATACACGCTCCCTCGTTCCCGAGGAGTACCAGATGTCTATCTATCTTTCGGCGTGTTGCGTGGTCTTGCAAGGAAGCAGGGATATCCCCTTAAAAAGGAGAAAAAAGGACGACTTGAACCCTACACCCCAAAACCACTGCTCACACCACCGTTCCAGCCGCCACTATTGGGTTCGTGGGCAGTCGATGCCCGGTTTAGGGTTTAGGGTTTAGGGTTTAGGGTTTAGGGTTTAGGGTTTAGGGTTTAGGGTCTACGGTTTAGGGTTGAGTAGAAGACCTACTTGGCTCTGAGTGGGGCGATGAAGGAGGTAACAATTAGGTACCCTACCCAGAGGGTCCATCGGTAGTACGACTATGGAACTAGGCGCCCGGAGCTCCCTATTTAGTGTGATGTTTGGGTAACCCTAAACCCAAACCCCAAACCCTAAACCCTAAACTCTAACCCTAACCCCTAAACCCATAGCTGTACTACAGATAAACAAACCCTCTGGGCTATATAACCCTCTTTGTATGTTCAGCACAAATTTCGAAACAGAGCGGAGCTGCTTAAACCTAGTTTAGGGTTTAGGCTTAGGGTTCAGGGTTGAGGTTGCTACATGTGGAAACCGAACAACCCTAAACCATGAAAAAAACCATGCCCTACAAACCATAACACTACGTTCTAACCCCTGCAAACCTATGCTCCCAACAAACCCTAAACCCTACATTCTTATCCCTGAAAACCCTGTAAACCCACTAACCCCAGAAGCCTAAATGTTAACCCCTGAAAACCAACTAAACCCATTCAACCCAAACCCTGAGGCCTGAATTCGAAGCCCTGAAAACCCTATATAGCCCTAAACCCCACACCCCGAACCCTAAACCCAAAACCCCAAACCCTAAACCCTAGCCCTAATCCATAAAACCCAAACCCTAAACCCCTAACAAACAAAAAAACACCTGAGCCCGACCTCGCTGGCATTGTGGGTGGCTGCCGCCAGGCCGGCAAGCAGCAACCTCGACGAGGCCTTTGGCACGGAGGTTCCGGGCATGAATGATGACTTTGGGGGGGGGGGGGGGGTTAGGGGTTAGGGGTTAGGTTTAGGGTTTAGGGTTTAGAGTTTAGGGGTGTAGGGAGCGATTCCCTGACCTTGAACCCCCCCCCCCCCCCCCCCCCCCCCCCCCCCCAACAGCCCCTATCAGGAGAGCAAACCTCCCACGCTGTCAGGAAATGGATCCGGCAAATTGCAGATTCCCTGTCAAGGATCTCGCTTGGAGGAGTAAGGCCGTTCAGGGTTCAGGGTTAAGGGATCTATTGCTCAGATTCCTAGGGATAATTCTGTCTTTTATAAATCTGTATGTATATATGTATATAGACATATAAGATGTTGGATGCTATCCCACTATGATCATGTGTTTTAGAGGGTAGAAAGCTTAATCCTCCATCTTCTTGCATGTCTAGGGTCTAGAGTCTTAGGGTTTGGGGCTTTTAGGGGGGTCTCCGTTATCATCGGGTGAAGGGCGTCAGGCTTTGAGGTAAACGTGACAGCCTTTTTTTTGGGCGTTGTTCTCACCTTTAACCCCAGACGTTAAACCCTAAATCCTAAACCCTTTCCCTAGAACCCTCAAAACCCTATCAACCCCAAACCCCAAACCCCCTCCCACAAAAAGAAAACCCGAAAACAACAAAAAAACCCAAAAAGTATTTACAAGAAAACCCAAAACACCCAAAAACACCCTGGAAGCCTCCAAAAAACAAGAAAAAAACACCTCCCATTGGCACCTCGCTGGCCACGTCTCCAGAGGCCTTCGCAGCCTTGGCAGCGGACTGGGCGGCGTCCACGGCCTGCGTAGGTTTTCTGGCTTTTGTTTTTTGTTTTTGTTTGGGGGTTCAGAGTTTCTAGGGAGTTTTTAAGGGTGTTGGGTTTGTTTCTGGTTTTTATGGCTTACGCTTTGTTTGTCGTTTTTAGGTTTTTTGCTTGCGCTTTTTTAGGCGGGGGGGGGGGACAGGGTTTTGGGGTTTAGAGAATTTAGGTTTTTGTTTCAAAGGTTTTTGTTTGGGTTTAGGGTTTTCAAGGGTGTAAGGTTTTTTTTTTGGGGGGGTCGAAGAGCCCATGTCTGGCAACCCTTTGACCTCAGCCTTGCTTAGCCTGAGCTTGGAAATCAGGTAGTAGAGGATGCGTATGCCCAGAAGCGCTGCCTTTGCACTCTGCAGCCCTAAATCGCCGGACAGCGCCCAAACACGCAGCATCTTATGAGTCGAGCTAGGCGGAGGGGCGCCCCTTTCTATACTAAGTGTAGTTTAGGGTGTAGGGTTTAGGGAGGGTTTAGGGTTTAGGGTTTAGGGTTTCGGCTTTCGGGTTTAGGGTTTACTATATTTACAAGGATCTTCGAACCGAAGTTCGGATCCTTATGAGCCAGGTAAGGGCCCTCATGAACAACTAGGGCGCCCCTCCGTGTAAGCGACTTGAACGGCCCATGCCTCAGAACTCTTTAAAGGAGGTAAGAGGCCATACTGAAGGCCAATCTAACTACCCTTCGAAGCCCTAAACCCTAAACCCTAAACCCCCAAACCCAAGCTCTAAACCCTTAATTAACCCTAAAAACCCTAAACCCTAAACACTGGACCCTAAAGACCCGAAACCCCAAACACTGTGGGCGCCACAAGGTTGAGGATACAAGCCAAAATCAGGCCCGAATAACCCTCCACACAAAATAACCTTAAACCCTGATCCCTAAATCTTGAACCCTAAATGCTAAACCCTGAACCCTAAACCCTAAACCCTAAACCCTAAACCCTAAACCCTGAACCCTAATCTACCCCGATTTTGCCACTTCCGGGCTTCTCTGGACTTCACTTTGAGATTAGGGACTTCGACGTATGTGAGTGGCTAAGGCTGTCCGAACCCCCAAGACTCCCCAATGAAACCCTAAACGGAGGTTTAGGGTTTAGGGTTTAGGGTTTAGGGTTTAGGGTTTAGGGTTTAGGGTTTAGGGTTTAGGGTTTAGGGTTTAGGGTTTAGGGTTTAGGGTTTTTAGGGTTTAGGGTTTAGGGCTTAGGCGCGGGCCTCCTGGAGTCTCCGTATCTCACCGGAGCCCAAAATGGTAGAGGCCTTCGGCCCAGGGCTTAACAGGGGCGAGTAAGGGTTTAGGGTTTAGGGTTTAGGGTTTAGGGTTTAGGGTTTAGGGTTTAGGGTTTAGGGTTTAGGGTTTAGGGTTTAGGGTTTAGGGTTGAGGGTGGAGGGTTGAGGGTTCAGGGTTCAGGGTTCAGGGTTTAGGGTTTAGGGTTTAGGATTTAGGGTTAGGGTTTAGGGTATATATGGGGCTCCTACCCAGATCGCCAAAGGACCCATGCAACCCTAAACCCCAAACCCTGAACCCTAAACTCTAAACCCTGCACCCCAAACCCTAAACCCTAAACCCTAAGCCCTAAACCCTACGCCCTACACGCTAAACCCTAAACCCTACGCCCTAAACCTTGACGTTGGGCAGGTTGTAGGCTTGTCAACTAGGAACACTTGGGGTCCAGAGCCGAAATGCCAGAGCCCCCTCGCTGGGGTTTAGGGTTTAGGGTTTAGGGTTTAGGGTTCAGGGTTCAGGGTTTAGGGCTTCGGGGTGTAAACTCTGAACCCGAAACCCTGCACTCTGAACTCTTTAGAGAACTCCCTCAAAACTTTAGGCCCTGAAAGCCCTGAGCTCTGAACTCTGCACCGCTTAGGGTAGTTGCATTGGTTGATGTGCACCGCTCCGTGCCGAATTGAGGCTTCCAGCCTCCGCCCGGTAACCGGCTCTTCTCGCCACCGCTCTGTCAAGGTTTTCTGTCTGCCACTGGAACGAATCCATGAAGCGCCAGCCTATCAATACCTCGACGGACATGATGCAAGAACCGGCACCGGCGATCTGAGACCTTGAATGATCCTTGTTCACAATGTTTCGGCCAAATCTCTTATGTCGGTGATCTGCAAAGTTTTACGGGACTCGTCATATGGACTCCCAGAATAACCCAGGGACCGTAGTAGGGGACCATGTAACTATACTGAGATGGTTAGAGACGACTTGCCCTAAACCCTTAACCCTAAACCCTAAACCCCAAACCCAAAACCATCAACCCCTAAACCCTAAACCCAAAACCCTCAACCCCTAAACCCAAAACCCGCAACCCCTAAGCCCTAAACCCCAAAGGCAGGCAGGCCCAAGATAAGTCACGGGTGCAGGATTTCAGGGTTCAGAAGGTTTAGGGTTTAGTGCTTATGGGGTTTTATAGGGGTTAATAGGGGTCATAGGGTTGATAGGCTTAATAGGGTATAGGGCATAGAGGGTATATAGAGGGTATATAGGGCTGTATAAGGTTTGTAGGGTATATATAGGGTATACAGGGGTTTATAGGATTTATAGGGTCCAGGGTTCAGGGTTTTCGGGTAGAAGCTTTGGTTCGCAAGAGCTTACTAAGTCCGCCTAAACCCTAAACCCTAAACCCTAAACCCTAAACCCTAAACCCTAAACCCTAAACCCTAAACCCTAAACCCTAAACCCACCCTAGACTCCCTTTGCCTGCTGGTGGAGTTTGCAAAGGAACCCACAGCCCTGAACCCCAAGCCCAAAAGCCAAAACAACAAAACCCTGTCGTGAACCCGAAGTCCTAAACCCTGAAACCCTAAACCCTAATTTACCCTAAACCCTAAATCCTAAACCCCTCAAACGGGGGGACTGGCGATCCGTCGCCTCTCCCCCCCGCCCCACCCCCCACGAAAGGATCCTCTCAGCTGTTCGCAGCTGCCCGCAAGAGAGGTGCTCTTAGGGTACGTAGCAAGGGTTAGGGTTTAGGGTTTAGGGTTTAGGGTTTAGGGTTTAGGGTTTAGGGTTTAGGGTTTAGGGTTTAGGGTTTAGGGTTTAGGGTTTAGGGTTTAGGGTTTAGGGTTTAGGGTTTGGTTTAGGATTTAGGGTTTGAGTTTATGGCTCAGGATGGTTACATGCGCCGCTTTGGGAACTTCGGCCGATTCGGGCCGTTCGAGGAGCGAATAGCACGTTGTTGATCCTTATTTTCGGCACTTGATGACACTGTGATGACTGTCCTGTGTGCACGAGGATGCCAGAATTCCTTTGAAAAGACATCAACCCAAACCCCAAGCCCCATGTCCCAAACCCCAAACCCGAAACCCCTAATCCCAAACCCCAAGCTCCAACCCCAAACCCCAAACCCTAATCCCTAAACCCCAGACCCTCAACCCTTCGTGGGCCTCGTCCGCCTTAGAGGATGTGTCGCCGTTGCTCAGCGCCTGGCTATGCAGGATTTAGGGTTTAGGTTTAGGGTTTAGGGTTTAGGGTTTAGGGTTTAGGGTTTAGGGTTTAGGGTTTAGGGTTTAGGGTTTAGGGTTTAGGGTGTTCGAGAGGTGTGGACAGAAGCTCATGAAGGCTGCCTCTCGGCTCGCGAGCTCGACGAGGACGAGCAACTCAGCGGAGGGGCTCCGTTCCTTGCAGCCGGTGGTGGGGCGGGAGGGCGGTCGTCGTGTTTCGTGTTTCGAGTTCTGTTTTTTGTGTTTTTGGAAGTGCGCATGCCCTTTTTTCTGCTTTTTTTTTTGGGGGGGGGGGGGGGGGGGGGGGGGGTGGTCGGTTCAGAGGTCGAGATTGTGAAGGGTTCGGGGATGAGGTTTCGGATGGATGCATATATGAAACGGCCTGGAAGGGGTGGGGGGGGGGGGGGCTGGCTGATGCCATACCACGACAGGTGTGGGTTGCATTGTTTACACGCGACCCCGGTTTAGGGTTTAGGGTTTAGGGTTTAGGAGTGAAGGACACCCCGGAAATCCTACACACCCCCTTGATGTCCCTCTCCTCTCCCCACCCCAGCGCCACAGCCCAAACCCTGAAACCCCATGTCCTCAGTCTTCCTCAGCACCATAACCCTAAGCCTGTGTTGTATACTTAATTTCAAATTGGTTCCATGCCATTTTTCTTCAGCCTAGAGACAAAGCCCAACCGATTGCGGATTGGGATTTGTCCAGAGACCGGCAGTAATCCCAAATAAGACCCCGAGGTCCACATGAGCCCAGGGACGTTCACGAAGACTTGAATCACCCCGAAGCTCTGAACCCTCTAACCCATTAAACCCATTAAACCCTAAACCCTCAACCCTATACCCTAAACCTTAAACCCTAAACCCTCAACCCTATACCCTAAACCCTCAACCCTATACCCTAACACCCCAAAACCTCGGATATTTCTGGGAAGCGCGTGTGCAGACTGCCTGAACCAAGGAGATCTCAAGCCAAAGAGCTGACATTGGGCGGGCGCTCCACGAAGTGTTGGCAACGCACCAGGGGTTTAGGGTTTAGGGCTTGGTTTTAGGGCTTAGGGTTTAGGGTTTAGGGTTAGGGTTTAGGGTTCAGGGTTTAGGGTTCAGGGTTTAGGGTTCAGGGTTTAGGGTTATTGGTGACCTTCTTAGCCACACCATCTGCCGCATCTTCTGTCTGCTGCGATAGATCTCGATGTGGCCAACATCGAAGTCCGCACGAAACGTGGGACGTGAGGAGCCCCCATTCCTTTCAGGCACTGGGAGGTCGATGGTACTTATAAAACCAATTAGAAGGGTTTAGGGTTTAGGGTTTAGGGTTTAGGGTTTAGGGTTTAGGGTTTAGGGTTTAGGGTCTAGGGTTTAGGGTTTGGGGGTTTAGGTGTACTTATTCGCCAATTATAACATGTACTTATAACCCACTTATAAGGCCCTTAAGTGCCCAAATGTGGTTTTCAATACAGCCATAATTGGCTCATAAGTACCATGGACCTCCAAGTAACAGTCCAGGGCAGCCACGTTCTTCCCGGGTTTCAACTCGAGAGCGCGTTCAGCACAGTCGAAGCACACCGCCCATTGGTTTAGGGTTTAGGGTTTAGGGTTTAGGGTTTAGGGTTTAGGGTTTAGGGTTTAGGGTTTAGGGTTTAGGGTTTAGGGTTTAGGGTAAAAACCTGCTGTGACATATCTTACTCTTTCCGATTGCTCCTCGACCCTACCCCCTACACCCCGAACCCCGTAGCTAGGTGCTTATCCTATCATGTTTGTAGGCAAGGGGTACAGGAAAACAAAGGGCCGACAAAACCCAAAAACCCTAAACCTCAAGGCCTAAGCCCAAAACCCTAACCCCTGAAACCCCAAAACCCTAAACCCTAACACCCTAAACCCCTAAACCCCTACACCCGTAAACCCCTAAACCCCTACACCCCTAAACCCCTAAACCCGAAACCCTCAACCCTTCCACAGGGACTCTAAACCCGGCATTCGGGGCGTCGGCCCAAGCAACCGGCGCCATGTTGCGAAGCACGGCGGGACCTGCTTTGGGGCGTTTTAGGGTTAAGGGGTTAAGGGGTTTAGGGTTTAGGGTTTAGGATATTGTCTTAGGTGGGGCCGTAAGGTTTAGGGTGTAGGGTAGTCAGGAAATTAGGGCTTTTGGGGTGTTAAGGCTCAGGGCTTGAGGGTTCAGAAGCTTTTAGAATCGAGGGGTTGGTCGTGTTGGGGTTGAGTTGCGTTAGGGATTAAGTTGGCCGGGGAGTTTTTTTTTCCTCATTTTCCGTTTATTTGCTTATATGTGTTCCGTTTATTTGGTCGGTTTAGGGTTCAGGGTCTAGGGTCCAGGGTTTAGGGTGTAGGGTCTAGGGTTAAGGGTTAAGGGTTTAGGAATTTGGGTTGCTTGGCTTGCATGGCTTGCTTGCTTGCTTGCTTGCTTTCTTGTTTGCTTGCTTATTGCTAGGCCACACGGCCGGAAAAAAAAAAAAAAAAAAAACACGGAAACAAAAGGAAAAATAAGCAAACAAACGCCGCCACCGATTAAGTTCAGGGAGTTTCGGCTGAAGGGGCTTCTTAGGGTTTAGGGTTTAGGGTTTAGGGTTTAGGGTTGAGGGTTGAGGGTTGAGGGTTTAGGGGCTCAGGGTTGGCGGGTTCAGGGCTTTCTAGGTGCCATCCAGCACGGTGTTCGGGTTTTGGTGTTCCGAGGTTTCGGGGCTCAAGAGTTTTACCAAGGGACTAAAGGAGGGACCTTAGGTGCTATTTGGGGGCCTACTTGGGGGGGGGGGGGGGGGGGGCTTAGCCTCCTTTGACCCCTTGACTTTAGGGTTAGAGTTTAGGGTCTTAGGGGTTTAGGCGTTTAGAGAATTTGAAACACGTTCAGCTGCCGGGTTAGTCTCTTAGGGCTTTAGGGCTTAGCTGTAGGGAGGCGACTGGGCGGAGTGGCCTCAGTACCCAGTACGTCGTAGGGTTTAGGGTTCAGGGTTTAGGGTTGAGGGCTTAGGGTTAGAAGTGCCGTTATACCCGAAAAAACCCTGCTCGGAGTTCTGCTACTTCTGACCCTACTTCCTACTCTACTGGCAACATGCCCAGATCCTCCAAGCAGGCTACCAAGACTAGGGAGTATGTTTCAGAGCTTGCCGTCTCTGAGCCTCATAGGTTTAAGGGTCCTACCCGAATCCTAAACCCAAAAAACCCTAAAAACCCTAAAACCGCTAAGACACCTAAAAAAACCCTAAAAGCCCAAACAACTCAAAAAACCTTGAAACCCTAAAAACCCAAAACAAAAACCTAAACCCTAAACCCTAAACCCTAAACCCTAGGGTGCAAGAACAACTCCATGGGCTCAACGCATGACCTCCACATCGGGTGACCGTGTGAACGCCCCTTTCTACCCCTTTCCCCAAAATATGGGAATCCCTGCGCCCTACACCCTACACCCTACACCCTAAACCCTAAACCCGAATCCCTAACGGCCTCACGGATGAGTTTGACTTCCCTGAAACCCCTAAACCCTGAACCCCTGAACCCCTGAACCCCTGAACCCCTGAACCCCTGAACCCCTGAATCCCCTGAGCCCCTACAACCCAAAACCCTAAACCCTAAACCCTAAACCTTCTCACAAGCAACACTGTAGGCTGAGGCCGCAACAGAAAAAGAGATGTCAAGAATGAGTTGAATGTCAGCAAGAATTTGGGACACAGGCTCCCAATCTGATTGCAATCTCCCAGAATCGCAAAGTCTGACTTTTTCCGACTGGTGGAAACGTCAAAGGTTCTTGCTTCGAGATATCTCTTGGCAGCTGCTGCAGGGGATGTCTCGCACTGTGCCTTATCGGCAGACCCAATATTGTGCACGGATGCCTGCGAATCCGTTTGAGCGCTAGCCTAAACCTGCCGAGAGCTGCGAAACTCCTGTGCCGACAAGGCTGCAGCATAGAGCTACAGGCCGTGCATGCGTTTGCTGCTCTGCTGGTAAACCAGCACCTCCTGACATGTGCAACGAGATTGGTGCTGTAAGCCCTCCCATGCAATAACATAGGGTGGTCAACAGCTTTCATCTAACAATGATGCGTGCTAATTTGGGAGCGACTGTGCGAAACATCACGCACAGCACTCCTGTGAACAAAGGGCTTGAGAGGACTGACTCATGTGAGAGGTGGGCCGCCCAACTACTGCCACCGGTGGTTTCTGTAGTGACGTCATCCGCGCTGCTGTGGTTTTGCCGTAGCAGACTGAGCATGCCAGTAGCATCAAAGCTCTCGCGTGGCATGATCCAGCTTTGCATGTTTTCAAGGCATACCTTGAACGCAGCGCCCAAAACCCAGTGCAGCACGGAGTCAAGTGCATGCTGGCAAGTCTCGCTCCACACAAAGCGAAGGAGTGACAGCAACACCGCTGCTCTTACAGAAACCAGGAACAGTGACAGCATCCAAATGCTAACTGCATCTAAGATGGGACTGCCCATGCCACCGGTCATCACACAAGATAGTCAGTTACGTCCCGTACCACTGCTTCTCAAGAAAGCATCATGCAGCAGCGTCTGCTTGCTAGCGGCCGAGCATGCCGCCTTTGGGCTGGCCTTTGCTGAGGCGGTGGTGGCAGGCTTGGTTCTGCCTTGAATCTCCTGCAAGCGAGCCTGGCTCTCAGCAATGGCTGCTTCCAAGGCGGCAGCCTCCTCAAGATGCCCGGCTACTGGCTCCGGAACGTCTTCCTGCTCACGCGCCCAATTTTCATGCGTGACTTTTTCCACCAAGAGTTTCATCTGGTCGGAGTGCTGCTTCTGTTGCTGTGTGAGCATATCCATCATTTTGAGCATGAGTGCATCCTTGTCGCCACTACTGGCTGCACCTGTCCCTTGCGGATGGGTAGCTTCGACAGTAACAGCTGGCGGTTGCTCCACTGGAGCCTGCTTCCCGGTGATAGCCTGCAAGATGGAGGAGGCAAGGCTCCCTCCGGCTTTCGCAGGCAAGGTAGCAGGTTGCGGCGCCGCTGCAGGCGATGAACCGCCGGTCTGGAGGGCACGGTCAAGCACTCCCTGGATGCCTTGGCTCATCACTTGCTGCACGGCCCCTTGGACCGCATTTTGGAAGGTCCATCCGACTGTAGCGCCAAGGTCATGGCCGTGCTGGTACGAGTAAGGGCCTGCTCTGTGGTAGCCTTTGCCTTTGTACCAGCTGCCCTTGCCTTTGCCTTTCCCGCCCATGGCAGCGCAGGCAAAAAAGACAGTCAAACTGGCCAGTTAGAGCACCGCAGCTTGCAGGCGGAGCACTCAGCAAGCGCAGCACGGGGAGCTCAACTCAGCGCCAGAAACCCTAAAACCGAAACCACACAGGTACACGAACAAAAACCCCCCGGCATTCACGACTCCCAGTACGATGCAACCCTGTCAGGGAGATTGCTTTGCATAGCCCAAGCATGGAGCTGATTTCTGGCACACTTGCTTGCTGCAGGGAAATGATGGGCATGTGTCCACAACTTTTCAATGATCTGCCTAGGATATCCTGAGAGGATCCAAAGCTGAAGCTCGGCGGAAACAGCTTTACGCAACTCATTTTGGGGTAACTGCAGCGTCCTAAGTCGCACAAGTTTTGAAGCGACGAGCCCACGGGCTTCACGCAAATCAAAACTGCAAAATCCTCTCCAGGGCTTAAGTCTGAATTTGGCGGGAGCGTGTTTACCTGCCTGATCTCGCCAGTCGGCCTCTGCGAGGTCAGCTCTTATGCGGATGTCATTATTTTCAGGCACTATCCAAATATCAAGGAAAGGGACACCCAGCTTACTACTTGGTGCAGCTTCAAACTTGATCGGGGGAGTGTAAATGGTGTCAACGAGGTCTAGGAGGCAGTCGTCACAAAGCACTTTTGACGCGGTGGCAACATCGTCAACGTAGCGGACAAAAGCAGCGACTTCGTGAAACTCCCAGGTTTCATCCGGCAGAAAACCAAGCTGAACCTGTGCAAGTTTGTTTTTGACCCATTTAAACTCGTCAAAAGCTAAAACCAGGGAGGCAATAGCTTTACTACAGTGACCTCCTATAGGTACACCCCGGACCTGTTTAAACAGAAACCTTCCTAAACGGACAGTAGGTTGCGACAGGGCCAGCGTCAGCACAGTGAGAATATCGGCCCAGCGCCAGATCTTGGCACGCTGGTTGAAATGTCCAGCGCACTTTGACAGCCAAGTGTGCAACCTTTTTTTCCTAGTCACGGCTATCCCAGCAGCGTCATTATTTTCCTGGAGAATCTTTTGGAACTCCTGCGCTGCGAGAAGAACCCTGTCAACAGGCAGTTCTTCATACATTTGTGCAGCATCTAGCACTTGGACACAGACCTGTGCTTTGCTTTTGCTGCAACGGGCACACACGCACGGCTCAGAACTGCTGCGCAGTCTTGCCACTGCACGTCTCAAGTCAGGGATGGCAGTGTGCAAGTTTGCAGTTTCAAAGCCTGCGCCTAATGCGGCGATCATGCCGCTGATAGCTCGGGAAGCTCCTCGATATAGCGATTTGGCTGGGTGAGTGGACCAGGCAATGATACGTCGGAAGCAGCTGTGTCCAGCCTTCCTGCAGGTCTGTCCCACTCCGGACTGGAAGCACTTTTGCTTAAGCGTGGTATATGCATACGGAAGGCTGTAGTGGGCCCATTTAGACTTTTTTGCGAAATGGCGCAAGTGTTGTGGGAGACACTGCTCGTGCAAGCAACGGTACTCTTCAACAATGCCTTGAACGCATGCGTTGACCGGAAGCCAGTGGTCGTTGTCTTGGCGAAACATGAAAACGCACCATTGCTGATACAACCGTTTAGGGAGAACCCAGGCTGCATTACGGTCTTTATCCTCTTGCACATGTACGTGTGTAGCGTTGTGTAAGGGAAAACATGTGTCATATTGCACCTCCAGTTGCTCACGTTCGGGATGCACTAAGGTGGCAAAGAACCCTTGGATATGGCGGCTCATATCCCAAGTAAGCTTCACCCCTACCTTTTTTACGATATGACTAAGAACCTTTAAAGCATCTGCTCTGTCCTGT